TGAATTTCTCCACCTTTATTGAGCCCTCATGATGTGATAGACACTATATGGTGGTGGTGGGGTGGTGGTAGTGGGGGTGTGTGTGATGCTGGTTACTTTATTAATCCTAATACCAACCTTCTAGGTATAACCTGTTCTTAGTCTATTTCAGTATGATTGAATGAGGCTTACAGGCTGCTCACTTCTGGGAACTGTGGCATGGCCCTTCCATTCCGGGAGCAGGTAGCCATGCTCTGCTCTGATGAAACTGTTTCTTTATTCTCTGATTTATTTTGGCATGAGTAATAAAACAGTATATTTATAACACAGGTTATAAAACAGTAGGACAAAAACATTGTAGCATATATTATGATGTTTGATTATTAATCAATATGCCATATTGTTAATATATGTCCTCTCTAAGAAGCTTTCTACTTGTAAATCACATCCCTTGGAGTTACTTCAATATCATTGCCGTTTCTATAAACATTTGACGATCGCTCTATGGTTGAGAAGTGAATTCCACATTCTGCTTTCTTTTTCTTATGAGAAACTCACATTTCACATAACAGCACATTTTCCAGGAACATAAATGAAATATATTTCCTCTTATGGACATTTATTTCAAGGGCAAAAAAATGCTTTAAACTGGTAAGAGAACAGCAGCCTGAGAGAGCAGCTGTTCTCTTGGGTTCATTCAGGAGGGGAATGAAAACACCTCGCCGAAACCCTCTTGTTAAACTTCCTTCTCGAATCACTCTGCCCATATTTTAGAAAGGTGTATAGCACGCTTCTCCTAAGAAAAGGACTGCACGCAGCAAAGGGACTGCCCTAGGACTTCACGTGCTCCCTCTTGCTGCAGTTTACCCTGTTAGTTCTTTGTATCATAGCATCAGGATTTCTCTTGGACAAGAGCCTTACAACAATGAATTTGCCCTTCTTGAATCATCAGCAGATCACATCTTTTTTTTGTGGAAACTTATCTTCAGATAGAAATGTGCTACAGTGGACTCTCAAATCAGATTGTTCCCATACATTCTGTAGCATAATAAACCATCCCAAAACCTGGGGACTCACCGCAGCAGCACTGTGTTATTCTCATGACTCTGTACATCGGCTGGGCTCAGAGAGGTGGTTCTTCTGGGTCATGTGATGTGGGTTGGGGCTCCAGTTACCTGGGGCCATGATGGCCAAGGACCTCAGTGGGGGCGGCCTACCAGAGTGCCTCCAATCTCCCCCACAAGACCTTTCCAGGTGGCTGGATGCCCGATGGGTGGCGCTTGGAACTCCCAAAACATCAATGTTTTAATTATTATTAATAAACTTTATTTTTTAGAACATTGAGTGGGAAGTTCAGAGTTCTCACAAAACCCCTCTCCTCAACACACACAGCCTCCCCTGCTGTCTCCCACCAGCTTGGTATCTCTTGTTACAATCCATGAACCTACACGGATACATCACCATCACTCAAAGTCCATAATTCCATCAGGGTTCATCTTGGTGGTGCACATTGTACGGGTTCGGACAAAGATCAGCAGTTTGGGGGATTTTCTTTTGGCCAAAGCCAGTTCTAAGACCACGCAGGAATTAAGGCAAGGGAAATGCACTCCACCTGTTGATGTGTGGGCCTGGTGCACATCTGCGAGGAGTAGAATTCGGGGGCTCCGTTCCAACTCAGTTCCCATAGACACTGGCCATTGACAGACTCTGTGTTCTGTGCTTGTTCCCAGTGTTTATGAAACTGAAACATACATATCACTTACCTGAGGATCTTGCTGAAATTCAGATAGGTCTGGTAGGTATGGGAGAGCCTGCTACGATAGGGCCCAAAATTTTGCATTTGTAACAAGCTCCAGGTGGCGTCAACGCTGCTGGCCCAAGAAACACACTTTGAGTGGCAGGGGTCCCTGGCACCTTGCATGTAATAGAGATGTGCCAGAGCGTGAAACTGAGCTCAAGGTCATTCTCCCACGGAAGACATTGCTGGCACCTAATCTCCATTCATTGCAACCACTTATTGTTTGCAATACCCACTGGGCACATGTTATAAAGCCCTTCCATTTTCATTTTATTTTTCCCATTTCATGACTCTGAGATAAGCTTTTGGTTGACGGTGGCTATGGTACCTGTACTTGGATTGTGGCCCCAGAAGCCTGCGTTATCTCGGATATCTCAGCAACCTCAGTAATAATTATGCCTACTGGAGTGGGCATGCTCAGTACATTCTAGACTTTGATGTGTTTTTTGCTGTTGTGTCTGTCTTTTGCAGAAGAGCCCTTTATGGTTTCCAGATCACAGCGGAGGAAACTGAAGTCCAGAGAAGTTAGCCCCTGGGTAGCAAGAGCATCTGGTAACTGAGAGCCAGGTAGGTCTGACTCACTCACCTGGACGGTCAGGCTCCGTGCTTTTGGGCCCCTGAACATGGCTGTAGTGGATTTGTATGTGTGACTCTTCAATCGACATGTGGTTCTTTCCAGGTGATTGCTTACTGGGTAAGTTTTAGGAGTAATGAGGTTCTTGCAGGGGTGATTAGGTACTTACGGAGTTATATCTAGCCTCTAGCGATGGCTCATCCCTCCATTGCCATCCCTTCAACTACTGAGTGTGCTTACATCAAAGGCTCTCATAGTTTATGACAAAGTAATGAAAACTGGAGGGAGGTAAGCATGCCCTTTGTGACTCGCCCACCTGAGTTGACACTACAGAATGGGACTGGCTATACTTGTGCATCAAAAGTAGCCCAAACCCATGTGTAAGGCTTCCTGCTTTCCCATGCCAGTTTTCTTCCTGAAGACCTGTATTTTTATCTGCTATCCTCTTCACCAATTAGTTCCAGTGAAAATATTCCCCAGTTAGCCTCTCATAAAACAGAAGAACACCGTAACAAGGTAAGCTCCGCTTGAAGATACATTTCACAGAAAATAAATACCATTGCTTTTAAAAAAAGAAAAAACAATGTAAGCAGGGCCTGTGTCTTGGAAAGACAAAGAAAAAGAATGATTTTATAAATAAGGAAGGAAAATAGCTCCAATTTTGAACTCACTGTTTGATGGATTATTGCTTCTCTTGTTATCGCACTCTCGTGATTGTCCTTGTAATGAAGAAAGAACAGCTAGCTTTAGAAGTTCAAATGAGAATCTGTTTCATTTAAATGTAAGTGCTACACTGAGTTATTTTCCATGCATTCATTTTCACTCTTAGGACAAAAACACTGCTTTCAAGAACGATTTCTGAAAGACTGCTATGATAGGCACTTACACTTGGAGTCGACTTGGATGTATTAGAGAAGGTTATATACAAATATGACTAATGATATTTAAAGCCTGTTTATTGCTAGATTGCAGATTTTCCACTCAGTGGCGCTGCCTGCAGAGTTATTGAGTGTTTTATCCCCACCTCCTGCAGTGTTTTGGATTTCTAGGCCATTGCCAAATGTTGCCCAAAATCTTATTTTATTTTAAAGACCCGCTTTACAGCTCGAGTGAGCACATGACAGAATCAATAGGAAGCTAATTGTCAGTAATGAGAGAGATTTCCTGCCTTAGAGAATAAGGAACTGAAGCATAAATTGCTTTTAAGGACTCTGCAGTGAACTACATTTAACCCTTGAAGCCAGTGCCCAGAAGGGAGGTCTGACTTGTCACGAGGGGCTGCTTGGTTCTTCCGTGGAGGGATGGACGGGCGGACTTGAGATGCAAGCTACAGCAGATCACATCTTTTTTTTGTGGAAACTTATCTTCAGATAGAAATGTGCTACAGTGGACTCTCAAATCAGATTGTTCCCATACATTCTGTAGCATAATAAACCATCCCAAAACCTGGGGACTCACTGCAGCAGCACTGTGTTATTCTCATGACTCTGTACATCGGCTGGGCTCAGAGAGGTGGTTCTTCTGGGTCATGTGATGTGTGTTGGGGCTCCAGTTACCTGGGGCCATGATGGCCAAGGACCTCAGTGGGGGCGGCCTACCAGAGTGCCTCCAGTCTCCCCCACAAGACCTTTCCAGGTGGCTGGATGCCCGATGGGTGGCGCTTGGAACTCCCAAAACATCAATGTTTTAATTATTATTAATAAACTTTATTTTTTAGAACATTGAGTGGGAAGTTCAGAGTTCTCACAAAACCCCTCTCCTCAACACACACAGCCTCCCCTGCTGTCTCCCACCAGCTTGGTATCTCTTGTTACAATCCATGAACCTACACGGATACATCACCATCACTCAAAGTCCATAATTCCATCAGGGTTCATCTTGGTGGTGCACATTGTACGGGTTCGGACAAAGATCAGCAGTTTGGGGGATTTTCTTTTGGCCAAAGCCAGTTCTAAGACCACGCAGGAATTAAGGCAAGGGAAATGCACTCCACCTGTTGATGTGTGGGCCTGGTGCACATCCGCGAGGAGTAGAATTCGGGGGCTCCGTTCCAACTCAGTTCCCATAGACACTGGCCATTGACAGACTCTGTGTTCTGTGCTTGTTCCCAGTGTTTATGAAACTGAAACATACATATCACTTACCTGAGGATCTTGCTGAAATTCAGATAGGTCTGGTAGGTATGGGAGAGCCTGCTACGATAGGGCCCAAAATTTTGCATTTGTAACAAGCTCCAGGTGGTGTCAACGCTGCTGGCCCAAGAAACACACTTTGAGTGGCAGGGGTCCCTGGCACCTTGCATGTAATAGAGATGTGCCAGAGCGTGAAACTGAGCTCAAGGTCATTCTCCCACGGAAGACATTGCTGGCACCTAATCTCCATTCATTGCAACCACTTATTGTTTGCAATACCCACTGGGCACATGTTATAAAGCCCTTCCATTTTCATTTTATTTTTCCCATTTCATGACTCTGAGATAAGCTTTTGGTTGACGGTGGCTATGGTACCTGTACTTGGATTGTGGCCCCAGAAGCCTGCGTTATCTCGGATATCTCAGCAACCTCAGTAATAATTATGCCTACTGGAGTGGGCATGCTCAGTACATTCTAGACTTTGATGTGTTTTTTGCTGTTGTGTCTGTCTTTTGCAGAAGAGCCCTTTATGGTTTCCAGATCACAGCGGAGGAAACTGAAGTCCAGAGAAGTTAGCCCCTGGGTAGCAAGAGCATCTGGGAACTGAGAGCCAGGTAGGTCTGACTCACTCACCTGGACGGTCAGGCTCCGTGCTTTTGGGCCCCTGAACATGGCTGTAGTGGATTTGTATGTGTGACTCTTCAATCGACATGTGGTTCTTTCCAGGTGATTGCTTACTGGGTAAGTTTTAGGAGTAATGAGGTTCTTGCAGGGGTGATTAGGTACTTACGGAGTTATATCTAGCCTCTAGCGATGGCTCATCCCTCCATTGCCATCCCTTCAACTACTGAGTGTGCTTACATCAAAGGCTCTCATAGTTTATGACAAAGTAATGAAAACTGGAGGGAGGTAAGCATGCCCTTTGTGACTCGCCCACCCGAGTTGACACTACAGAATGGGACTGGCTATACTTGTGCATCAAAAGTAGCCCAAACCCATGTGTAAGGCTTCCTGCTTTCCCATGCCAGTTTTCTTCCTGAAGACCTGTATTTTTATCTGCTATCCTCTTCACCAATTAGTTCCAGTGAAAATATTCCCCAGTTAGCCTCTCATAAAACAGAAGAACACCGTAACAAGGTAAGCTCCGCTTGAAGATACATTTCACAGAAAATAAATACCATTGCTTTTAAAAAAAGAAAAAACAATGTAAGCAGGGCCTGTGTCTTGGAAAGACAAAGAAAAAGAATGATTTTATAAATAAGGAAGGAAAATAGCTCCAATTTTGAACTCACTGTTTGATGGATTATTGCTTCTCTTGTTATCGCACTCTCGTGATTGTCCTTGTAATGAAGAAAGAACAGCTAGCTTTAGAAGTTCAAATGAGAATCTGTTTCATTTAAATGTAAGTGCTACACTGAGTTATTTTCCATGCATTCATTTTCACTCTTAGGACAAAAACACTGCTTTCAAGAACGATTTCTGAAAGACTGCTATGATAGGCACTTACACTTGGAGTCGACTTGGATGTATTAGAGAAGGTTATATACAAATATGACTAATGATATTTAAAGCCTGTTTATTGCTAGATTGCAGATTTTCCACTCAGTGGCGCTGCCTGCAGAGTTATTGAGTGTTTTATCCCCACCTCCTGCCGTGTTTTGGATTTCTAGGCCATTGCCAAATGTTGCCCAAAATCTTATTTTATTTTAAAGACCCGCTTTACAGCTCGAGTGAGCACATGACAGAATCAATAGGAAGCTAATTGTCAGTAATGAGAGAGATTTCCTGCCTTAGAGAATAAGGAACTGAAGCATAAATTGCTTTTAAGGACTCTGCAGTGAACTACATTTAACCCTTGAAGCCAGTGCCCAGAAGGGAGGTCTGACTTGTCACGAGGGGCTGCTTGGTTCTTCCGTGGAGGGATGGACGGGCGGACTTGAGATGCAAGCTCTACCCCAGGAGGGCGGCAGCAATGGCAGCTTAGAAGTCACTCCTTTTTCTACAGTCTTACGTCTTTACACAGGCCACTGTCTAATGTTCTTTGTTAATCTGTACTTAAGAGTAATTCATGATGATTTCATAAAGTTATGGAAAAATTGTCCAGGGTTCAGGGTCATTGCCACCTGAACGCGCCTGAGCTGGGCTTGTTTCTGAAAAGATCGTCGGGGTGCCTCACCCTCACCAGGCATCCCAGAGCAGGAAGTTCTCTGCTATTTCTCAGTATCCTTGCAAATGACTTCCTAGTGAGCCCATCCCAGACCCTTTTTAGGGTTGAGGGGTGATACTTCCTCTTTGCCCCATGGGTCTCCGATCTGGTGGCTTAGGGAATGGGTGACCCTCTGAAAGCTCACTTGGTCTCCGTGGAGAGGAGGCAGCGGGTGTGTGCTGGCCCTGGGGGGGTACCAGCGCCCCCTCATAGACTTCCTGTTAATTATAAAAACATCAGATCCACTGGGAAATGTTGCTGCTGATGGCTGAGGAAGGTGTAGAAAGGATGTGCCCCTGAGGGTGGCAGCCCATGCTCCCCTTCTGCCTGGGGGCACAGCTGGGCCTTCGCTGGTCAGCGCGCAGGGACCTGGGCGCAGAAGGGCAAGCCACCTCTCTAAAGGGCCAGGAGCAAAATAGTGAGAGTTGGGGGGGTACCATACGGTTTTGTCACATCTTCTCAATTCTGCCATTTCTACTAAGACAATAATGACCTCTTTTGTTCTAAAAACATATGTTTTTAATTTTGAAAACAGCAATGCAGAAAAGTATGAATTAAAAAAAATCACTCCAAAGCTCACCACACAGAAGTCATTCTGGTCAACATTTGACGTTTGGGACTGGCATCTCCCTTTCGAAACACATCGGAAGAGCCATAAATTGTCACTAAATGCCAATAGCTAAGGAAAAGTACATTAAAAAATGGGATCAAGCTTTATATGTTATTTTTAGTAATAAGATTATATTTGAATAAATTTAGCCAGAAAATGGTACGTGAAAATAAGAGGGAAGAAATTGTTAAATGTTAGAATGAACATTTCTTTTCCAAAAGTCATTTCCTAGAATGGTTGTCCCTCCTAACTCAGAAATTCTGATGAAGGAACATAAACCATAAAAAGGTGGTTTTTAAAAAAACTGCTTTTTTCTAACTACATGTTACAACTTTAGCCATTATCTGTTCTCTTAAATAACAGGAGGATATTTATTAAAACACAACATCCTTTTTTGCGCATTTCCCAACAGCTGTCAATTTTTTGTTTGTTGGATTACTTTCATGTTTCTTTTTCATTGCATATAACCAGCATTTCATTCCTGGATCTAAACTTATTTGGTAGTTAACCTCAGTTTTTGTTTTTGTTTTTTAAATCATCCTTTCCCCATTCCTTATTTATTTATTTTGATTTATCTGTTATTGCCTTGAATCTGTCATCCAGCAATGTTTTGAACACAGGTGAATGGGGCTGTATTCTTTCTGTCACGATGCTGCAGAAGGTCTATCTGCTGCTTTTATGTTGAAGGACAGCTTGGCTGAGCATTACATTTGGGGACGGTGCTTTCTTGCCCTCAAAATTTTGTAGCCATTGTCCTGTGATCTTCGGGCATTCAGTGTTGCCTCACAAGTCTAAGATCATATTATGTCTTTGTCCTTTTACATAACTGGACTTTGTTCTACCTGGATTCCACATGGTTCTTTGCCTTTGAAGTTGATGAATTTCACCATATCTTCATGCTGATGATTCTGCTGCACATCACTTAGGAGACAGCGTCCTCTTTATCAGCAGGTTCAAGTCTTTATTCCAGAACAGAACGTCTTTTATTGTAACTCTGAATTGACTGTGGACGCCTGGGCTCTCTCCTCCTCTCTTCTGCAGGACTGCGAGTCGCACTACACTGGATGCCCTTCACGACGGGTTCATCCAGCTCGCTTCATAGTAGTTTTATATCATTGTTCTCTTCCATTCGTCTGCAGTTCATTGACTCAATTTTAAAGCTCATGCCTCTGAATTTACTTTCTATTGTACTTACGCTAGTGGCTGTTTTCACTCGTGTGCGGTTTTTTTTTCTTTCCTGTTTCCTCAGCTCCACTAGCTTGATTTTTTAAAATCTCCTTTTGTTATTTCATATTTTAAAAAGTAATCTCGAACCTGTAATTTATTTGAGAGTGGAAAACTACTTGTCTGAAATTCATGGTTTTCTCCTTCTTTTTGGATATATTTTCTGGTGATAAATGTACTTGTCTCGTTTGTAATCTCTACTTTCCCCCTCTCTCCCCTGCTCTCTCTCCCTCCCTCCCTGCACAGAAGAAGCCCGTGTGCCCCTTTCACATTGCTGTGCCATGTTGAATGGGAGCTGCCCTTTGCCTCAGAGATGAGGAAGCCCTGAGGGGGAGGAGGAAGGGACACACAGCGGCCGTCTGTCCACAGCCCCACTGGGAGTATGTGCTCCCAAACACCCTCTTTCCAAAGCTGTCACTCGTCTGCCCTGCGAAGATGTTTCTCCGGCATTCAGGTGTTTGTGGGGTTCACAGCACAGCACCCAGGAGCACAGTTACTTGTCTTCTCACTGGTTACGGGCTGCCTCCCCTCCCTCCCTGCGGAGCCTCATCTCTGTCAGCCTTCCTTGGCTACATGGCTTTGTTGCAGACCATATAAGTTGCCCGTCTGGATGGCATCTCCTCTCTCCCCTCATTGTGTCTGCTGAGTTAGTCTCCAGAACAGGGCTTTGTGGCCTCAGTACTGTTCACCTGCTCTTTGTCGGGGTGGGAAGGTGTCCATAGTATGTTCAGTAGCACCCCTGGTCTTGACCCAATAACCAGGAGCCACGAGCATCTCCCCACCCGAGAATGCCTCCAGTCACCGCTGGGTGTCCCCTGGGCAAGGGATGGCCCCCAGTGAGCATGTCCTTCCCTCCCATACACCCCATCCTCAAACTTGGGTCTCAGACCTCTAATCAAAGACCTTCAGGATGGACCTTCCAGGACATTGGATGTCAAACTGGAGAACGCGCAGCACTTCCAAGTCTGGGCTCACACTTCCGCCTCCATCCGGACATCACCCTGCTTGTCCAGTTGACCGTGGCACTGCTGGCCTGCAGTAACCCTGCTCGGGTTGTCAGCTTGTAGATGACGTTTGTTGTGTTGTTTCACGTAGGATTTCCAGCTGGGGAATAGATGGAGAAAGGTTGCATCTGTTGAGCTAGAAATCTCTTGCTTTCTTCTTTCAAAAGACAACCTTGAACTGCTGCTGTGAGTGTCTTGTTTGGAGACACGGAATGGGAATCGGTTCCAAATTACAATTTTTGCCTACTTCATGGTTCTGCTCAAGGCATGAGGAGAAAAAGCGGAAGTTAATATGTTCCCGATAAATTGTTATTTTAAAGCATTGATTACCCATGTTGGTAACAGAGCTTTGAACAGAACAAAAATTCAGTGCTATAGATTTGAAACTGTATTACAGTTGCTATATAATTGGTCAATTGTGATAGAGAAAAATGTATTTAAAAAAACTCATAAACCTCATTTCTCCACCTAACAGCATTTAAACATCAAATTGACGGTAGACTTGCTTGTAAGCTACCACGTATTGTGTTCCCTAGGTGGAAAAGGGGTCCTTTAATTTTACATGCCGTT